CTGATTATATAGAATACAGTAATACATAGTAATCAAATTCTCATACATAAACATGGTAATTCCCATAACTCATTTTCTTATTCCCACTTCTTTCTGGTCATGCACACTTGAGTCTGAAATGAGTCAGGGTCTGCTTTTGCGATGAGCATGGACTACGGACCTCAAAGAAAGACCCTCCAATGCCTTTGACCCAAGGATTTTGGCTTACATTGTGATTTTAACGTGTTTCGAGGACCTTTCATAACGTAACTTTTAGAACATCTGGTGTACAGGGCAATAAATCGTCCTTACCAAACAGTCATCTTGTTATGAGTCTTACTCTTTGAATGGAAATCTGGTTAATGATTATTGTGAGTCCACTTGGCCTGAGCCTGGGACTTTAAAAAGAACTTTGTAGCAGCATAACTGGTTGTATGGTTACTCTAAATCATTCCTTATTTAAATCCAAATCACCAAAAATCATTAAAATCAGCTCAAATTAATAACGTCAGTAATACCAGGAGTAGGAACGAAATCCAAAAGAGAGAGGCTAGACTGCTATTTCCTGACCCCTAAGAAATGAGGGCATTCAGAGGAACGTAGCCACAAGAATTTGATGCCAAATTATTTTGCTACTTTTTTCTCACTCATCTTACACAGTGAAATTTCCCAGTTACCTTTCGGAGAAAAAGTAAGTTATTCAAAGTTAATCTGTTTCAGATCTCAGCAGCACTCATATAAACTGGGAGGTGTTTTTTCACCAACCCAACCAACCTCATACAAGCAAACTGTGAAAGGAGTTTGGTGCCAGAATTGATGTTTCAGTTCCTAGTTATAGATTGGAAATGTCCCCTGAAAGTAAGATATGTGTTTGGAGACTTATTCCCCATTTAGACTTGTTTAACCTCTTTGCATTTATCAGTTGCTACTTTTTATTAGTTGTGAGCATTGTCATGTTTGAATGGTGGGGTAGTTAATTTTTTTAAAACCAAGAGGCTTCATCCCTAGCAGTACTGAGAAGACTAAGATTTCAAAATCCTTTAGCACTTTTCACTTTACTCCTGTTTCTACTACAAGCTGTGTGCTTCAAGTAATAAAATTATTTCAAAAGCACTGAGCCTTTTAATTTTGGGGGGGAATTAGGATTACTATTTAACAAAAAATTATATTATGATCTAAATCTGTTGGGATTTTTTGCAAGATCTTAGGTCTTGGTTGTGCAGTAATTGTACTTGGTTTTCATGGTGTGACAGATTCCGGATTTTTTTTTTGTGTTAAAAATTACTAAAACACATGTCAGAAGACCACACTGATGAAATTTTTTTTATTGATAGAAGTGAAGGAATCATATTCTGTTATTTTTTTGGCAAAGAATGGTTTCACATATTAATGCCAAGATATTAAGAATAATATTACAAGGGAATGCTTGCTGAAAATGTAAAACCAAATGATAATTTTTGTGTGTGTGTTTGATTAATTTTCATCTTGAGTGACACTACACTAGGGCCTATGAACTCTCTTTCTGCTTTCCTCATGACAGAAACTTTAGAAGCGGCATTATGGTGAAGGAGAAAAGGGAGTTGTAGAAGAGCACTAAAGTCTTGGGTTGTTAAAGAGGTTTTCATGCCATCTCCTCTCCTCACACATATCATAGGGTTATAGCTCAAAGTTAGGAAGATGGCTGAGGCATATCTTCATGCTTCAGCATACTCTAGGTTTGATGGAACAGCTTTTGTAGGTGATACAGACTTAAGAGTTTATGATGGGAAGCAGTCTTGGAGCCAGATGGTTCTGGGCATATGTGTTTATGAGAAAGTGGCTTTAAGTCACTTCACCTCCTTTGAAGTTGTGCTGAATGCAGCTTAGATGCAAGCAGCTGTATTTTCAGTGTTAACCTCCTTTTCTGTTCTGTGGCTTGCATCTCTCTTCTGTTTGCTTTGCTTCTTTTCTATTCAGTGTAAAGGTGAAGGGGCGGCTAATACTACTGCCCTGGAGAATTAGAGTGAATGAAAACATGTTTTCTACCCCTTTGCAAGCTACTTAAGACATGGATATGGGTCACTGGTAGGAAGAATGGGTTATATACCTGCTTTTTCCATCCTTAGAGCCGACAAGCAGGGTACGTATAGATCTTTGGCTCCTATCTTAATCATTCCTGGGATGCATTTGATGTTGATATGTATAAGCATTTTCTCTTCTTTTTGAGTGCCTGTCCATGAAAGGTACTTGCAGAGAGTCTGATAATTTGGTAGTGAAAGTTCAGGCTGGGTCATGGTAACCCTTAGCTAACTTTGAAGTCAACAGCTTGGATAGTGCTACCAAAATGTAACTTGGCAGCATAGCTGGAAGTGGTGGGGTCTGGTGGTGTTCTCAGTATAAACCCAAGATCTGGTATGAGGACACCTATCATACAGATCTGTAAAAGCATGAACGGCTTGCGGAGAGTGAAGTAGGGAACAGTAATGCACCGGTCTTCTAGTGCCAGAACTGGGGAGCAGCAGACAAAACCAGCAGACAGGCAGATGTTTGAGACAGGTATCTTCACACAACAGATCACTGAAGTGGGTAATGTTTTTTTATAAGGTGTTGCAAATGCTAAACATTTATATGGGTTCAGAAAGCAATTGGACAAATTCACAGAAGATAACTATTAAACACTAAGATACTAATCCACTCAAGATTCTTTGTGCCATGGAGTGCTGGATGATGGGAGAGCATACTGGGGAATTCTGTATGCTCATCCTGTTTTATACCCTTTCTAGGTGTCTGTTACTGGTTATTGTTGAAAAGAGGATATCAGTATATGAGGATGTTTGATGGTACTGGTTTGATGTTATTGGTTCAGTAACTTTTTGTTCTTGTGCCTGTAGAAAGTGCACTCAGATTTTGGACTGCAGTGTAGTAAGTGCACTCAGATTTTGGACTGCAGTGTAGATTTACTGGAAGCATATTTTGATGCACACTGTCACGACAGCTTTTGAATTTGATAACACTCCTAGTTTGATGTTATGCAATGGTCTCAATGCAACTTCATGAAGTAATGAAAAAATGGATGATCAAGTTGTATGGTATCAGGACTGTCCTTTTATGTTGTGTTTATCATTGTATTTTCTTACTTCATTGTGAATGTTAGGATTTTGTTTTCCTTTGTGATAAACATGTTAGATTGGAGGATAATCAATTTTTAACCGATTGACGAGCTGCACCTAAACCTCCTAATCTGTGTGTGGGGAGAAAATTCAAAAGGAAAGGGCAGAAGCATGTCATCTCTTTTCAGTCTTTTTTAATGCAAAATGTAAAAGTCCCATTTAATGGCTAATGGTAGATTGGTAGACAGGATTATTGCCTGGATGGAGTAAAGCCTCAGGCATTCCACCCATTTTATTTTGCTGTGTAATGATTCTGAAAGCAACTCTCAGAAGGACCAATACATGCAGTGTTTTCTAGTACAGCTTAGAATGCATATATATACACTTGTTGTTATTTATTTACCTTGTCCCACTTTTGTATATTCCTATTTTAGCTTTTTAATTTGCAGTTCAACTTCTTTAGCTTTGAAAGCTATTGAATATTTCACTGTGCCTTAAATGATTCTGTATTTTTAGACAAAATGGAAGCACAGTGTGCTATAGGTGCAGCATATATAATATTGTCTTTTTTCCAAGTTAGTCTCATGACAGTGTTAAAACTCAGCACTGCATTTACAGAGTCAGTGTTCTCATTTAGCCTTCCTAGCTTGTGATTAAATGGGAGTTGCTGCTTGTTGTAGTATGAGTTGGCTGACAAAAGCTAAATCTGTCACAGGTGCTACAATTTGTGTATCAGAAAATTTGCTTTCCAAATACTAATTATTCCCAAAGTATCTTACTTCACACAAAGCACAGATAACAGAGTCAGCACATTTGTCCCAGTTTTGGCATTGTGCTGTAAATTAGAGTTTGTCTCCTACCATTGTGTAAAGTGAAGGTGGTAGAAATTCAAATGCAGGAGGGAGAACCCATTGATTTACAACCTCTGATGTGTTTTTTCATGTAATTCTTCTAATCAAAATGCTTGAAATGTATGTTATTCAAATAATCATTGCTGAATTTGACTTTTGTAATTGAATGAGCTCTTCTCTAGGGACATAGAACAGTGGAAAATTTACAGTGTTGTCTCTCCAGATATTGTTAAAAATTGGAAGCATTTTGTGTCTGAAAAGCAGAGACCTAACCTGGTCATACACTTAAACTATTAATTTGGGAAGTTAATTTAATTGGATGGTAGCTTATCAGGAATTATCTTTCTGGTTGCTATGGGAGAAGAACGGACCCTCAGTCATTGAAACTGCGGCTGAATAAGTGAAAGCATTTAGTTTATGACCTCCTCAGACTCTGAGTCATGTATGTTGTGAAAACACACATGTAGGTACCTGTGCACAAGCAAGGAGTTGGGTTCCTGTCACCCTTCTTCCACCTCTGCATGTCTGAGAGCCTTTGTGATAACCTGTTACGGCTCTAGTTGCCAGTATGATGTATTTTGACATGTGTCAGGATCTCCCTAGATAAGAGTTTGTAGTTCAGGTAGCCTATTGCTTAGTTAAATCTTTTGTAGCAAATGTAGCTGTCATTTGAGTGAACAAATTTTTGACGCTGGACGCAGAATGACCTGCTAAAATAGCAACTGGAACTGTGTTTCAGCAGCTTTTCTTTTTATTGCTTAGAATTACCTAGGAACTCCTTCTGGGATTAGACAAGCATTTTAAATGTATATTCAAAATATTTAGCTTATAGAGTGACTTACACAGAAAAGGAAGAACACTGAATGCTGTAAATGAAATTTTTAGCAACAATTTTTGCATTGTAAACTAGCTTAAGGAACTGTTTATTTACTCCCTTAGGATGAACATATTGTATATTTCTAGATTTCTGACAAATGCAAACATTGCTGTGATTTAACTTCTAATAGCGGTGATTCACAGCTCTGGTTGTTTGGCTTGTATATAGTAATACTGATTTGTATTTTTATTTTATTTTCTGTAGGACTATTTAACCATTCACAAGTATGGCAATGCAGCCAGAAATGATCTCTGGAACACATTGTCAAAGGTAAAATGCTTTAATCTGTTGTACTAAGGGAGAAGCAGGAATTTACTGTGTTATTTTTCTTATGAGGTTAGGAGTGAAGAATGCATATTGAGATCTTCAGACCCCAGAGTAAATATAAAAATTGATGTAAAGAAATTCCATTTGAGTTAACCTAGTGGCAATATTAAAATGTGTTTTTTGCAGCATTTCTATTCTTTGTTATGTTAGAATATATTTCCTTGCTTGTGCTATGTCACTGATGTGTAGTAAAAGATGCTTAATGGAATTTGTTATCATTGACTTTAGTGGCAGCATGCTGGGGCCCATAAGCTGGAAAGCACATGAAAGTGCTGAGCTTTGGCATTTACATCAGGTGTGCTTGTGATTTTGTTTGGAGTTGTGATTTGTTTGAAGGATGAAACTATTAAACCTTTATAAAGTTTTGCACTATTTACTGTAATGTTTGATATGCTGTACAGACTTATAGTTGCTATGTCCATGCTTCCTTTGATTGCTATGCCCAAGCTCAGTCTGAGTTTCTAGAGCCCAGTCCAGGGATCTGTAAGGGCAGAGTATAATTTTCATAAAGTGAGCCAAGCATGCCTGAATTTCTCACCTACAGAGCTAGTCTGGGCACTCTAGGATAAAGAGAGAGTGCAAGCCAGTGTAGAGTACAGTCAAGGAGTTTGGGCACAAGTACCAACTCAAGCCATGTGTAAACATGGTAATCTAGTTTTAACTACTGACACCAAAGCTGGGATTCAGCTGCAGGTCAAGACATCTACATTTATCTAGACAAGCAGGTACATACATATAAAGTAGGTGTCCAAGCTCCAGATGTTTTCAGTGTGAACTGTATTCAGTTGCCTGTTCATAGACATCTGACTTTTACCTTAATTTATTTTATCCTACCTGGCTTCCAGCTGCCACATAAGTATGTCTGCTGTAGGTCCATCAGGTCCACAAGGATGTGTGGAATATTTTAGGGCATCTCATTTGACACTTGTGAACAGGAACAACTGGAGTCCCAGAAGTCTAGTCAATACAGATAGCCAAGCATCAAGAGCAGTTCAGTTGGCTAGTTTATCACTGACTGTTGACTAGGGACTTGAAATAGTGTGAGATTAGGTGCAGTAGGATGTTCAAGACATTCAGGTGGGTTTAACAGTGGCAGGTCAAGGTCACATGACATTAGTCACCTATGTGTGGGCAACTGAACTGAGTCTTATGTCTGTACTGACTGTTAAGGAGAGTTGAAACATGTAACATACAGTTACGCTTTAAAATCTATGTCTTAATCTGAAATTCAGTGCCACTGCAAAAGTCATTCTTGCTTCTCACCTGGTGTCTTCCTCTGTTAAAGCCTTTAGGGCAGTTCAAGGTGATGGGAGGTCAGAGGGATGAACATAACCTTGAAAGAACAGCAGAACCCATAGCTAAGAAAATAGAACAAAAATGAGACTGTATTCTGGTCTGTAACCACTGCGGGTATTCTGAATGTTCAAGTTTATTGTTTAGGCTAATAATTCTGTTTGCTTCACCTGTAAGCACGTTTGTTGCCAGCCACTTTGTTCCTAATGCATTGCAATTGCATCTTCAGTTCTGAAGACTTCTTGCTGGGTTCTGCTTGTATTCATCAGAGGTTGCTCAGTGAGTGATCTAGCACTGTTTGGCAACTAGGGATATTTCCGTTACTGAAGAACTAATGATGCCTGTCATTCCTCTCATACCCACTCTCATCTCCCATGATGCCTTAGTATCTCTTTTTGTTTCAGATGAAAATCCACTTGTAAAACATCATTTTTATTGACAGTTTGTATCAAATATGAACACATTAATCCTCCATGTGTTATGACAGGTGCAGTTTATGAAGGAGCTGGGAATATCTTTGTATACATGGCCTCACTTTGAACATGAGGGACAGTATTTTCAAATAACTAGTCATTTGATTTTCAGAACAAAGAAGCTCTCTAGTTTTAGAAAACAAGCCCTAAGAATATGCCTTATTGTAGGTACCCTAGATCAACTAACACTGAGTCTTTTTTAACCTTAGCTGATCAAGAAAATCATTTGGAGACAACCACCCAGTATTTCTGTGGCTCTTGTTAAAACCCTGTAAACCAGGTTGTTTCTCTGTTACAGCAAAAGTGCATGAATGATGTGGGAAACAAGACTTTCTGACTGTCACTCTCCTCTCTGGCAAGATTGCTCAATGTTTACTTCTAAGATACACAGAGATTGTGGGTTAAATTATGTAGTGTGTGTGTACTGGATGTAAATATGTGTGTGAGCATGTGTGATGGTTATTTAAACCTCTAAAACTAATTAACGATCTCTGGGACAAAAAAAAAAAAAAGTTTTATACGTTGGATGATGATATTGCTTCAACATATTCTTTTTTCTTGAAGGCTTTAAAAAGGTTCGGAAAATCTGTAAATATCCAAGAAGTAATGGATCAGTGGACACTGCAGATGGGTTATCCTGTTATCACTATCTTGGGAAATGAAACTACAGACAATGTCATAGTGATCTCCCAAGAGCGTTTTGTTTATGATAGTAATGCTAAACCCAAGGATCCTGCCCGTGGAGACAACAGGTACTTACATTCCTCATAGAATATCTGTCAAGATGCTGTAGTTGTTTAAGTGCTTCATGTATGTATTTTTATGAAGATGGCTCTTTAGAAATCTCTGAGCTTTGCTTGGTATCAGTCATATGAGGTGACCCTTCCATATGAACTGTAGTAAACATGAGACTAGTTAAAAGAACTGGAAAAAAGTCATTAGATATAAAACAACAAGCTAAAGCTTTTAATATGCCCATTTGCATCCTGACAGTTCTCTCTGTGACTACATCTTATGTCTTACATCACAAATCTGTTTCCTTTCCTTTCCTTTTGATTTTGTCACACTCCATGAAGTAATTTGGGATGTGGCTGGAAGGTCTGGTACTTCAAGTAAATCTTTGGAGTGGACATCTCCATGCTCATACATTGAGTAGGCAGATATAACCGTGTGCCAGATAGATACCTCTCTTGACTTGGGGAGCAGTCAAGAGCATAACTGGGCCTCTGTACAAGGCAGGGGTTCCAGCTGTTCCATTTTTGAAGCCAGCTGAACCGGTCCTATAGGGAGTTACACTGGCTGAAATCAGCAGGCACTTAGCATCTCTGTCCATGACCTTTTTCCACTTCTTAGGTTATTTTGTTCCTGCTTGCAGTTGACTCCACACATTTCCTTCATCCCAGACAAGGAGCTGACACTCCTGTCTGATGCTGGGGAATCCTCATCTCATTGTTTAAAGCAGTTTTAACATCATATTTTAAGGCCAGTAATATAGAGCTGATGCTAGAGAATTACAAGGTAGCCTTAGAAGCTTCTGAGTTCATCTATTCCTGATCAGCAGGAGAGAGTGCACGCTGTCAGCCTTGAGTACTCTGTGTTTCTCCAGTAGATTTAAATCATTAAAAGGTAAAATTTAATAGCAAATTTCAATAGACACATCTGGAGCCTAGAATATTCCTGTTGAGGAAGGCCTAAAGCTATAGTTATGTTTATTGGGAAATCTTCAGAAGTTTGTTACCCTTTTTTAGAACATGAATACTATGGAACTCAAAGATGACACAGAGTAAATAGTTGTTTTTTCTGGCTGTATTGGAACAGTGTAGCGGAGTATTAAGCATCTGTTTAAGTTCTGGGCTGAAATGAGTTCCTTTGTGAAAAATAGATAAACAAGTGAATGTGGACTGTTGCAAATGTTCATGACTTACAGTTCAGTGTAGCATGAGAGAGATTGTCCCCTATTCATTTGAAAATTTTGTGTAAGTATATGTAGATGTAATGTAATGTGAGTAGATTTTACTACTCAGAAGAACAGAGATTAAAACAGCGATCTTAAGCTTTTAAGTATTGCAGAGACTTTCTTATATAGATCTGCTAGGTACTCAGTATTGATTGTAGTAACTGCTGCTGTAATTCTTAAGTAAAGGCTACTGGGTGTGTGTTTGTAAGGTGGAATATAAGGGATGATGCGGTGGGTTGACCCCAACTGGACACTAGGTGCCCACCAAAGCTGCTCTATCACTTCCCCTCCTCAGCTGAATAGGGGAGAGAAAATATAACGAAGGGCTTGTAGGTGGAGATAAAGACAGAGAGATCACTCATCAATTACTGTCACGGGCAAAACAGACTCGAGTTGAGGAAATTAGTTTAATTTTATTATCAGTCAAAATCAGAGTAGGGTAACGAGAAATAAAACCTAAATCTTAAAACACCTTTCCCCCACCCCTCCCTTCTTCCCAGGTTTAACTTTAGTCCCATTTTCTCTATCTCCTTGCCCCAAGCAGTGCAGGGGGACGGGGAATGGGGGTTGCAGTCAGTTCATCACCTGTTGTCTCTGCCACTCCCTCCTCCTCAGGGGGAGGACTCCTCACACTCTTCCCTGCTCCAGTGTGGGATCCCTCCCATGGGAGACAGTCCTCTACAGACTTCTCCAACGTGAATCCTTCCCATGGGCTGCAGGTCTTCATGAACTGCTCCAGCGTGGGTCCCTTCCCCGAGGTGCAGTCCCTCAGGCACAGACTGCTCCAGCGTGGATCTCCCCACAGGGTCACAAGTCCTGCCAGGAGCCTGCTCCAGTGCATGCTCTTCTCTCCACAGGGCCACAGGTCTTGCCAGGACTCTGCTCCAGCGGGGGCTTCCCATGGGGTCACATTGTCCTTTGGGCATCCACGTGCTTCAGGGGGTCAGCCTGCCTCATCAGGGTCTTCACCACGGGCTGCAGGGGAATCTCTGCTCCGATGCCTGGAGTACTTCC